ATGAAGTACATGACAAGAATCGGCCAGAATACGGGTACGTTGAAGAATTCGAAGAACGTACATATGATCGCGATTAGGGTGGCTTTCATAGCGGAATGCCTGAATGGAATTTACGAGCCTTTTATCATCAAGCAGAACAACGCTTTTAGCAAGTTATAAATCGCTCAAACAAGTACTGCAACGCATACCAGCATTTAAATTCAGGTAAGCGACGCATAAAAGGGCGAAACTCGTCGTTTGTTCTTGATGGCAGAACAGGCCCGTCGTCATCATCCTCGAGAGCAGGATCAATAGAAGGTGTCAGGAAAAGAAGAAGCAAATTCAAATAGTAGATTCCGACAGCATATGCCACTATGTAGAAGCCCTGAAATGCAAGCCTCAAAAAAGAAAACGCAGAAATTGTGTTCAAGATTTCAAGAAACAAAGTACCACAAGCAAAAATATGAGGATCATTCCCAGACTATGCCTCGATTTATGATAGATCATGATTTGCTGCAGTTTGTTTTGAAAGTTAAAATTTCACCAAATTACGAAACTGTTCTCTGCAGATACTAGTCCTTCATCACCATCGTAAAAAGATTCCATCATGATAACTTAACCATTGTGACTGACTTACTGATCTTCTCTTTCATACTTCCTCTACCATAAAAAATAGGAATCCTACTCAGTAAGCATGTCTAAAGGGGCAAGACTTTTGCCTCGTATTGAAGTCACATACTGATGGTTTCCAGGCTTACGCAACTTAATAAAAAATAGATCCAAAAAGTTAGCAAAAGTACTGGATTCAGGAACAAAATGGTCCGATATGTTGCGCTCAAAACTATGTGCACAGCTTCTTTTCGAAAAAAAAATAGTAAGAATACATCATGTGAACTATTTCCTAAGCATTCTGGGGCTCAACTAGCCGAGTGGATTCAAGAGTTCAACCCATCGCAAAAAGAGCATTCGTGGAGAAACAGGAGTATAAGATGGACAACGTTGTATCAGCAGCTCACTGCACTTTATACAAAGGACGACCTACTTGGAGGTAGAGAATCCTGGCACAGAAAGTGATAATAGCCACGACCGCCATCAACCATCGAACAGTAGTTTGCGGTGTGAGTTTATCCAAATAATACTGGTATTTCTGCAAGAAGAAAATCAGAAAAATTCAGAAAGGAAGCAGCAATAAAAAGAGAACAAAAAATGAACTCACAACTTCTAAGGAATGGAAGAACCGGGAAACTACACCGGGTCTCTCTCTTAGGTCGTCATCCATGTTTGAAACGTCACCTTAAAATATGAATAATCGTTTGCGTAATGCGTCTGAAGCCATCAATACCATGAATGACGACGAAATGATGTTTTCTGGTATGAAAGTGCACAGGCATAGGTTTCCTTCATTTTCTTTGGAAAGAGAAAGAAAAGATAAGGTAAGAATACTAATTCTGAGTGCTACCCATCGGAAAAGCACGCAACCCTTGACGCTCGTATTATGACTCATCCGATAGGGGGTTCAGCGGTTCTGCGGTGAAAGGCTTGACAAAACATGCGCTTGATTTCTGCCCAATTTGCGGAACGGTAAATATTGTGATGCACATGAACCGCTTCGACGGAACTCTAGGAATCTGAGCTCCTTAGTCTACTTATAACCGTAGGAATGCTAGTCTGGACGAGTCTGGACGACCTGAGATGATCGGAGCTAATCGATAAAATCCTCAAGAAGTTGTTTTCGAACTTTATCTAAAAGTTGTAGTAGTGAGAAGATATTAAGTCGCTTCTCAAAAGAAAGAACCGCAGTATTTAAACAACGACAGCTATAAAGAATACAATATTGATCGATTCGGAACAATTGTGCACACCCTCACGATAGGATCAACTCGAAAGTACGACCAGAATCTCTGCTCTGCTTTATATCCATGCGGTGAAATGTTACGGAGAGAGACACACACCCCCTCAATATTTTGTGAAATAAAAATGAACGGTCAATTGAAGTACAAGTGAAACAATAACAAATTCAATTTTCACCCTAACGAAGCCATATACAATAAGGTTAGACATTCTCACAACTTGTGCCACTTCGCTCCGCTTAAAAGCCTCTGCAGTGAAGGCTTCTCACAACATGTTTGGGTTTGACAACGTACTGATAAAAACATTTTAATCACTTGTTGCAAGTTCAACAGAATAGAAGGCTAGGGACTAGCGAGAAGTGGAGAAAAGGAAAAGTAACGCAACAAAGGCGATCCTGAGCGGAGATCGCCCACCGCCGCCGAGAACTGAACACGGTGGAGTGGCCGAAATCACCGTGAGAATGGAATGATATTGATCGACGTGAACCGACACGTCCAAATCATGCTTGAACACGTCGAGATTCTGTTTGGGCGACGGGATTCAGAATCATATTCAATGTCGTCCACGTCAGAAGCAGAACAACTCGTCACGCATGGTGGTCCTTGGTAGCAGCGGAATTATTCCCGATAGACGCGGTCATCTAGGCAAGTGCCAAGTGGCAAGTGTTGTACGTAATGCCCACAATTGCGGACATTTTTTCGGAGACGTGTTCTATTGTTGAAGTGGTGTTGTTTTGGTTGTTTACTTTCACAAACTTAGCCTGAGAACAAGGTTGTCTAAGCATCTTCTGAAAACTAGTTCCGTATCATTGGATGTTTCATTTCAATGGCGCGTCCGCGTTTCGCTAGACAGGTCCAAAAATCATGCTTATATATGGTTATTTTAACATTTTGGGACTATTCGCGCCATTACTGCCCACTTCTCAAGACTTTGTTTTTTTCGCCAATCAATTTAGCCGGTGCTAACTTAGTTGGGGGGGGCCACGCGGCGGCGCGGCAGTCTGCTCACCTGGGCTCTCTCGAGCGAGACAGTGTAAACTCGAACATTCCAGCTTTTCACGCATGTCAAGTGACTGCCCCCACCCCCACCCCCTAGACTGGCTACACTCCCCCTGGCCCACGGATTTCCGAACATGCCAGGCGAGCAGACTGCCGCGCCGCCGCGTGGCCCCCCCCAACTAAGTTAGCACCGCACCTGGTTACGAATGCTGATACCCCTCATTTTTTGACGCTGGTTTTGACGCAGAGCCCTGACAGTGTTGCGCACATTTTGCCGCGACAGGAGCTTTACTCAAATTCGCGTGCAGCCACAAACTGTAGTAGGGTAGTGTTTATCCTTAATTACGAATATATATAAGTTTTTGAAATAAGCGCGTCCAACGCTTGCCATTCTGTTTTCTGTTCTCTTCATGAGCGTCTGTCATTCATAGTGCTATTTCTGGCAAAATAGGATTGTGTGAGATTACAGGCTGAACTTGATTGGAACCGTGCTAATGTACATTTAGGAGGGCGAAGGACACGCGCGACGCTACTTGTGTGTCAAATCTGAGGCTTCAGGTCAAGGCCGTGTCAGACTTTGCGAAACCGACGCGAATTCGCTAGCGTCTGCGGTCGCGGTCGCGGCAGTGAATCATCCTAGCTGGTACGCGACAGCGACCCGAACGCTTAGGCGCGTCTGCCATGCGATCGCTAGTCCGGCGATTCGCAAAGTCTGAATTGGCCGACAAACGAAATCGTACCCGTAATATTCGCGTCGTAAGCAGTTGCGGGGTGTGGTTAGAGACAGAAGAGGAGACGAGTCATGGACTACTTTGAACTCAGCCCTTTTAACGCTTATCGCGCTCTCAACCGTGATGTTTCCTCTCCTCTCACGCTTAGACCGACGTCATAGTCGGCGACGGACCAAGCGATGGAGCGATCGCGATCGCTCCATCGCTTGTCCGTCGCTTGCCAATCGCTCTCGGTCGAGCGATTGGCAAGCGATTGCGCAATGTGCACAAGCGACGGGCGATTGGCCCCGCCCCCAGTCAATGCAGTCGGCTGCGTATCGATCGAGCAGAGCCATTGCCCGTCGCTTGTGCACTTTGCAAGCGATTGCGCAATCGCTTGCCAATCGCTCGACCAAGAGCGATTGGCAAGCGACGGACAAGCGATGGAGCGATCGCGATCGCTCCATCGCTTGTTCCGTCGCCGACTATGACGTCGGTCTTAGCTTAGTGCTTCATCGTTGTCTAATCGTCTGTGCTTGTAGCCATGCCGCGCGGGCGCATTGAGAAAACCAAGTAGTCGCTAATACCGTGCTCCTCGAGCTCGCAGTCTTTGAGACAGAGAAAGGCCTCTGGGCTGCTAACTTAGTTGGGGGGGGGTGGGGGCACGGACCACGCAGCATGGCGAGCGTTTGATCGGCCTTCCTACTGCAAGGTTAGCCCCACTGCTACTCGTTTCCGCAACTGCGGGTATGGTTCACCAGGACAGAAAGTGACATTTTCGCGTTTCACAGTTCAAAACATTTTTCGCTGCAGAAGCCCAGGTCCACTCGGTTTGCTTCTGGGCTTCTGCAGCGAAAAATATGCGAAAATGTCACTTTCTGTCCTAGTGGACACACCGCAGATTTCGAACACCAGTACCACGAGCAGTTTGTCACCGTCCGACCGTGCGGACGGTGTCAAAGCTAATCGAAGCAATCTAGTTACGCTACCCGAGAGCCTTCTTTCTCGATTACTCATGTCCCCGATCGACGACCTAACGGTGCTGAGAATTTCCCAATTCGAGAGAAAATAGGTCAGCCTGCCACAAATATAATGTAGTGTCCCGTATATCAGCGGACACCGGGCGGTATTCAATCCTTCCCCCAGGGGTTGGGACGACGAAAATCCCTTTAAATTTTCCCTGTCTTCCCAACTGGGATTGTCCTGATAAAAGGGCCTACGTTTAATGTATTATGTATGTCAATGTAATCATGCGTTGAAAATGAAGAAACTACATCGTTCTAAAACAAATAAATTTAAAGGGATTTCCGTCCCCCAACCCCTGGGGGAAGGATTGAATACCGCCCCATAACTTCTATATAAAGTTATTGAGTCAAAGTCGTAAACAGCCCGTTGGATTAAGTGGCAAACTGGCGCACAATGGCCTCTCGACGGCGTCAGCGTAAGAATGAATTTCATATCATTATTCTCGTAAAAAAAAAAAGGAAAAAAAGGAGATTTTTGGACAGCAGTCGGGTGAAATAGGTACGATGTCTGCTCGATGGGCTCGTTTCAGAGTCCGCGATCCTTTGCGCGATTTTCGCGATTTGCGCGATTTTCGGGAAACCTGCGATGGATCACAGGAGTTGGAAGTGCCCGATGAATACTGCGAGGTGTTATTTAATCCTGCTGCGAATTCTGCTTGACAGTAAAGATTGGAAAGAACCATTGATGCGTTCGCTGGTATGCTAATGTTCGCTTGTTCATGTGCTCAAGTTATTTCATATTTCCCGCAACGATCGACACTCCAATAACGTAAGGAAAAGTAGGGAGGGGGTGACCGGGGCACTTTCAATTCCTGTGATCCGTCGCAGGCTTCGCGCGGATCGCAAAAATTGCAAGTGCCCCATTTGAACATTTGAAACACTGAATATGAAACAAGTGGAATCATGAGCAGTCGTCATTCAGCCATCACTATCAAGCAGAAGTGGCGGCGGGATTGGAGAACACTTTGCAGTATTGCGGCGGGCACTTGTGATTTCCGTGACCCGTCGCGTGAATCGCGTGATCGCAGAAGAATCGCGAACCTTGCGGACGGATTCCGGACTTTGAGCCAGCCTACCTAGGCCGACGAAAAGTCGTTTTTCGGTCTTGTTCATCAAAGAGAGGCTAAATTTTTGATTGGAAGCGGACCAACGACAAGCACAGGTGTCAATCTCTCTCGATCGAAACTGTTATTCGGCTTCGCATTGAGCGTTTCTGATGCTTTATGTACTGGCACGACAAACTTTTGATTGAACTCGTGTGCTGTTTGCATTACCACTTTCTTTTCGTTTTCTTTGGAGCCACTTGGAGCTTAAACATTGCCCTGGTAGAACGTTTAGGGGAAATCGTCCAAGACCTTGTTTCTTTTTTCTGTAAGACTCGTGAACACATGTATTTGAGCAGCACTGTTTCGTGTTCCTTATTAACTCTTGCCACTCATCTCTCGCCCCACTCCATGACTCCTGTGGCTCCATGGGCACCTTTTTCGCTCCGTTGTTGAGATTCATTCCAGAAATCGATCTGTTTCAGGTCATTTTCACTATGATGAACTTCGAGGAGATGGATGTGACTACAATGCTTTCGGCTTTTATTGGAATTTTAGTGATCATGGTTTCGTCAATATTCTACTTTACTAAGAAGCAGAGCGAAGAAACACCACAAAACCATGAGGAAGAGTGCGTATTGGTGATCTACTT